ATGTGCAACGCAAAGCGACCCAAGACCTGTCGTATCGAGACCCAAACTTCCCACAGCCAAGGCCTAAATCTAGGAGTCGCCCGCCTGAAGCTCCTGTGACTTCAAAACCCCTAATTCAGGAACATATCGTAATTTTATACTAGGAACCCATATATGGCGTAAGGTATGATACTTAATTAAGCGGTCTCTGGGGCTCGAAACTTCACAGGTGGAACACTCGCAAGGCTTACCTCATTTGTGTCACAGCTGTGAGGTCTGGTGCGCATCGTCTGCATCGACGGCTCTCTTGCCTCTGGCACATCAAAGAAGCCGCGATGCTCGGGAAGCATAAGCACACGTAAGTGCAAAAGTCAGCGAAAAAGGCAAAGCGGAACCATGCCCTAGCAATGATTCCGCCCCGCCTGCTGGACCGGCACATCCTCCTCGTCCCTAAAACATGGGAAATTGCAAAAAACAAACTCTCCCCGGTTGTTTGGAGCCTGCCATCACCTGCGAAGGCGTGCCCGCGGAGCCTGTGCTTCTTCAGACCTGCTACGTCTGCCAGCTCTGACTACGTCCTGCTGTGCAGGCGGGATCTGCTGACCGACATGCGTCTTCTTGTCCCAAAACTGCTCGCAGGCATACTGGTGGACACAATGTCCTCGCCACGCATGGGCCCAGCATGTACACCTGATATCGTACGATCCATCGGCCTCCGTCAGGCACCACACTAGACACCATGTCTGCCACAGTTGCTCATACTGCTCTTTGTCAAAGAAAGGGCCGTCGTCATTCTCCTGGTACAGCAAGCCGTCAGCTTGCAGCAAGTTCTGTAGATCCGTTACCTTCTTCGTGCGCAGCTGGGCGCGCATTTTCTGCAAAGTGCCAGGGGGTATTTGCCTTGGGTGACCAATGGCCATGGCAACATACTGAGCGTTTCCTGAAGCCCATGTCTCATGGGGGAATCGCCGTCTGCAGCTCCGCATCTTGTGCAAAATGAGCTCGATGCTAGCGAAGGCGACGACATGACCTCCAGCAGGCATGCGAAGGTTGGCACCTTCGTGGTACATCCACTGGTCAGGACAGCTTGGCCGGCCCAGGCGAACGTCGCCCATCATAGAAATAGGCTCGTTGCTGGCCTCATCCACAGGGCTCAGGGGAGCCAGCCATGTAGGCAAACACTTCTCCAGGGCAAGGATCACATCCTCATGTTTTCGAATTTCTCCCTGGCTGCGCAAATCTCTTTTCAACTTTGAATTGGCGGCCTCAGCTGTCTGTTGCGAGGATGGATGACCCACGCTGTGCAAACCCTTGCAAGATCCCAGGCCGGACCACCAGAGGGCTGTGAAGAGCCTTGCAACGCCATATGTTTCCATCGGCACATCTCTCCAGCACAGGTACTCCTTCTCCCAATATGAAGCCCACCGGTTTTCCAACCAGACTCGGCGAATGCGGTCCAGGATCACGGTCAGAAATACATGTAGCATGGACTCGGTCGGGACAAAAAGAAGACAGCGTACCAGCGCAAGCGCGGCCCATATTGGCCGATTGACCAAGTGCGGTGGCCTAGCCTTGGCTTTGGCCTTGGGCTTGGCCTGGGCTCGTGCTCTCCCGCGACCGGCGGCCTTGGGGGCGGCCTGCCGGGGAGGCCTGGTGCCAGCGGACTGATTGGACTTCAAATTCCGCCGCATGTGCTCTACTCCACAACGGAGCTGAATGCGTGGAAAGGTAGAGGCAGAGGCAATTCTGGATCCGTCGAACCAATCTAAGCTGATGCTCGAGGGCTTTGGCAATCCTCGAGCGGCCAACCCGTCTCGAAGCGCGACAAGCATGCGGCCGTAGATGGTCCCATCCTCACTGCGACTGCACGACATAACCATTGGCCAGAAGGACTTCCGAGAGGTCTGCTGCAAGCGCCTGTGCACTCGAAGACCTTAGCCGCTTGAGAAACAACTGATCTGTGCGCAGCCGTCAGCCTGGGGTCAACAAGGGCTCTAGACAATTGTTGAACCAATGCCGGTCGAGGTGCACAGCACTCCGTAGGAGTAACCCATGATCGCTAAGCGAAACGTGAAGTCACTCGTGACATGGATTGCATCTGGGTGCCGGCTGTGCAAGTCCCTTGCAGCCTCGAAAAAGCCAGTCAGCCGCACCACCCACTGAAAAGGCGTCCTGAGGGCGAAAATGAAAACCCTTACCCGTGCTGCTAACTCCTCATGCGAAGCACCCGGCCTAGAAGTGTAGGCAAACTCGAGCTTCTCCGTGTCTCGGGTAGCAGCAAAAGCTTCGAACGTGTCCTGGGACTCTGTCCACTCGCGGGTCCCTGCCCCATATTTGCTTTTGTGGTTCCGGAGGATCGTGCGAATACGCGCCCGGGGGATGCCCGGGCCCATGCGAATTGCAACCGCAGCTGTGGTGGCTTTGCGGCTGGTGACCAAGAGAGTCTCTGCTGCCTTCAAAACCTGTTCTCTTTCGCCAACTGTAATCTCACCATCTTTGTGTTTCTTGGCTTTGCGCGCCTTTTGGGGCTCGCCATGACAAGCGCCGGCGCTTTGCACTGAGAGCTCAAAAATGCCGACCCGCGCCCAGCATCCAGTGAAGGCAAAGACCCTGCCGGCTCCCTGGACGCACATAGCACAGCGGTGGCAGCGAGCCGTGCACCGCCAATCGTCTCGCGGCAGCTGCCGGGGTGTGGATATGTTTCCGAGCGTGACATCATTTGTAGAGGCCCAAAGTCTAGCAGCAGCTCTCAATACGTTTTTGATAAAGTCCTTTGGTAAACGGTCTGCCGAATACGAGACACGCTCCAATTCTTGGAATTGCAAGCTTCGTCTCGCCGGACGGGCAGGATTTGGATCTTCTTCTTCAACAGGCAGGGCTGGTTCCATGGCCGTGTGGGCACGACGTGTGTCTCACGAAGCTCACAATAAATTGATCCAAAAGTATGAAGCTACTGCAAACCCCATGGCCATGTCCTTCCTTGCCCTGACTTTCAGCCTAGACCCGTATTGGGTTCCAAGCCCCCGAATGCTGATTGGTTGCTGTGATTCCTGCTGACTCGCTCGTGCCGGGGGCTTCGGGTCTGTAGTGCTCATGCCGGACTCTGTATGACCGGGCTACCAGCGCACTTGCCAGACACGAGAGATGCTTCCAGCCTGTAGCACCCTGATCGGCCGCAAGGCTTCGAGGCCTTCCGGGCAGCGCAAGGGTACAGGGGTTGGGAACTTCATGTGCGTTGAGGTTTAGGCTGCTTAGTCGGAATACCACAAAGGGCTTAGGACTTACAGTGGACGCCAAAAAGTTGGAACATGCACACCCTAACATTCAGCACTCCATGAGCGAGCGCGTGCAAGTTCCAATTTCGGCATTATGTTCCAAAGTTGGAACATTCTGATTCTTACTGGACCGGCCGGAAAACCCAGTGTCTGTGGATGTCATCAAGGTTGGCCATGGATGATATGGACATCATTATGCTTGGAGGGTGGGGGGGCACCCTGTGGAGGGGAAACAACCTAACCTAGCACTATCCTAAACCCTAAGCCCAGCTTCCCCTGGTTGGGGGACCCCAAAAAAATATACAGTAAATGCTGGGCCCTAAACCCTACGTGCCCGCTTTCCCCTAAAACTTGGGGGGCTAGGCACCCTAAACCCTATGCCCGGTTTCCCCAAAAATATAGGGACCTAGGCAGATGTGTCCTAAACCACCCTGAAAAACCCTGAAACGAAACCACCCCCACACGCAAACCGCAACCCTAGGAACCGGGGGGGCGGGGGGCGGGTTGGGAGGGAGGGTTTGAGGCAACACCAACCATGTTCCAACTTTAGCCTCCAAGATCAAAGTCGGAACCTGTGGCTTGGGGCCAATTTGCTCCAGTGGACACGTTCCAACCTCCCGGCTTCCACCATAGGGCCTAAGGTTGTCTGGGGAAGGGAACAAAATGCGTGTCTCCGGCCCTCTGTCAAGCGGCGGTGATCATCAATGCCAGCTGCGTCAGCTGCCGAAAGAAGCGAAATACTCTGAAGACTCCTTCGTACGAGCAGCATGACCGGCCAGGGGGGCTCACGCCGTAACAGACTCACTCCAAGCTTCGGATAATGCAGAGGGTCTTCAACATCTTCACCGTGTCGAAACCATTTGCGCCGGCACCCATGGCTCCTTGTGGCAGGGCAACGGGCTGGCAGCACAGGCAGACCAAGAGCAGAGGGCAGACCCAGAGCTCTGTTGCTTTCGAGCGTCTCACCACCACAATGTCAAAGACCAGCACGAGGTCGAAGAAATTCCTTAGATCGCCATCGAAGCAGTCCGCTTCCTTCCCTCTGCCACGGCAACCGAGCTGACTTGACTGCAGCACGGCTGCCACAATCGCATATCCAAATCCGTAAACCAGCTGGCCTGCTGAACAAGCGGTGAGAACATTCAGCTGGCACACAAGCAAGAGACGCCCAAGACGATGCCAGATGGCAGCATGAGGGGGGCCTGGTGCGCCCCGATCCGCAAAGTCAGCTCCTTAGCAGCCAGTCAGAGCCGCTTGCATGAAATGAAGCGTGCAAGCGACGACACCGCCAAACAGCTAGCACATTCTTGTGCGACGTTTACCCTCGAGATCCTGGTCCAAAAGCTCACATGGCGAGGTGCGACAATGAAATAAGCGGTGCAGAGCTGACTCACCAACTCCACACCTCACCCTAAACCCTAAACCCTTCTAAGCAGAAGCCAAGCCTGTGTGCTCCAGCGTCAGCACATGCGCTGGTTCCATGCACCCAAGGGGCAGCGGAGGAGCATTACATTGGTGAAGTGCATGTACACTTGGAAATTATTGGCTTATCAGTTCGCAGCGCTCCAGCAACGAACGAGATGAGCACAGAACCCACAGTAGTTCTTTTTTGGGGTCATATGTAGAATCCTATAAGGTAATCCCAAAAAGGAACTACAACACGCTCGAGCAGCAGTGCCAGCAGGGCAATGGGCGATGTCATGTGTAAGACAAAAACGAGTCGTGGTTAGTGGGTGTGCGGCGCAGTTAGCAAGACAGCGTCGTGGTTATGACGTGGCTTTCTGCAGCCAAGCCCCGAACAGGAACAAACTTGGGAAGCAGAGGACCTTCGTGCCTACCAGCCCAATGCACCGGCTCAGTTTCAAAGACTTCGACGTGTCTGAGCATCCGGATGGCCTGATGGCTTTTTGAAGGTCCACGCCATAGATCCGTTCTGTCTCTCTCCAGACCTGAGTATTAGAAGAACGTGGCAGACAACATGTGCTGTCGCATTGCGGATCATTGCAGTGTAGCAGCAGTCTTCTCAATCATGTGGGGGTTCTCTTTCCACAACTGGCACGGCCACTCGAGTTATTCCTCGCCTTACAGCGATGAGATGCCACGTACCTTGCCCAAGCGGGTGACCAAGTCGTAACCCGTCTGCTGCCGGTCGACGTGCTGGCCAAAGACAAAGCTTCGCGGGATTTGGGGCGGCTTTGGACAGCGTAGCCTTCTCGCCGAAGACACGGCACATACAGAGTAGCTCTTGCTGCTCCTGACGCAGTCTAGGTATATTGCACGGGCAGACACTACACGGGTCAGGCAAACAAGAAGCATAATACATGCAACACATGCGTACCGTGACTGTGGCACCAAGCGGAAGCTGTCGCTTGCCTTTGTGAAGCGCCTTCCGAATCCGACAGGAATGAACCCGGGGGCATCCAGAAACTCGAGCTCCGTGTTCCTCTGCGGGGCGGGCAGCGAGTATACTTTAGAGAGGCGCGCCGGAATTTGCCGAGTCCGAGGTCCTGAAACCACCAATCTTGTGCCAAGTGAGTCTCTTGGTCAGGCCCGGCCGTCCATTCTGGCATTTGAATTCTCTTTTCCCCAGTGTCAAGCAAGAATTGCGACGTGCCAAGCACCGCACTCTTGCAGCCACTTTACGTCCGGTGAGGCGATTGATGATGGAGCTCTTCCCGACCTTAATGTGATGCAATCGGATAAACTCCGAGCCGTGGCCTCACTATCTGAGGCGAAAGCATTCGGGAAGCCAATCCTTTGTTGACGTATCTTCACACACACTGAAATCGAAAGCCGCAGCTTCGGTCTCAGAAGACAGGTTGCATCATCGTGCGAATTGCGCGCGGGTTGATGCCCTTGCGCTTTCTCCTGTCACTGAGCAGAGGCATCTACATCTCCCCTGTCTCCCCTTCAAGAGTCCTTCGGTTCACGTACGCTCCCGCTTTTAGCAGCTCTGTTCGAAGCTCCTGTCAAAAACAGGAGACAGTCGGACGGCCGAGAGACTCGCCGAGAGATGTAGTGAGACTCATGAATGGATCGTCTGAATCTCAATCCTGGAATGTTGACCTCTCCTCGATGCCAAATGTGCCCAGCAGGGCATCGACTGCAACCACTGGTACTCCCCGGTCACGCTCACTTTCGTTGATGTAGCGTATCGTTTCCTGCGCGCTAAGTCAAGTGCACCAAGGCATGATGAACAGCGTCGGAGGATGAGGGAGCGATAGGGAGCGTCCTCGAGTGCTGCACGCGGGACGAGATCAGCCTTGGTCAGCACGATGACCCGCGGCCTTGGGCGTGCCCAGCCTGCGCGGTAGCGAAGCCAATGCAGGATGTGCCGAAGCAAAGCACCCCCAAATCTTCCTGGAACGTCCGGATGGGTCGTGGTCCAAGGAATCCGAGCATCACGAACCTGTGCGTAAGCCCGACTGCCTGCAAAAGTAGCAAACAAGCTCACGCACCTCGATGACCACGTCAACTCGCTTCATGTGCTGCAGCTGCATGTCTCTGATGGCCTTGCGGGGTTGATCTGAGCGAGCCGTCTCCGCTGAAAGCCACTTGGCATTACTTGGAGGCCGCGCTGTCCTGGCACACATTACCCAACTCAATGGTCGACCGCCCCATTGAGACACTTCGATCTACGAACGATGCATCACCCGAACAGAAGCTAAAGCATCCGGACGAATGTGCCAGGCCAATGTGATGCAGCAAACCAGAATGCAAAGGAGGCTTTGCCAGTTCCAGCCATTGCTTGGACCAGGTACCCCGAAGTAGGCCGCCGGCAGTGGTCTGGTACCCCGGCCGCCAATCAATGGGAATGTCCTTGCTGGCAGCGCCTGCAGCACGAAGCCCAAGTTATGGAGACGATTTGTCGAACGCGAGCTTCGAACTCAATCGAAGATATCGCTGGTCACCAGCGGCCTTTTGCAGGCAATGGTCGCTGCTGAAGCGTTCTGCTTGATGCGTCGAGAATCAGAGCCTCTAAGATCTCCTCCGCACTCATGGATGCCAGCTTTTTCCAAGAGTTCTTCTCCACCTCAGCAGGAGTCACGCGGTCGCGCTCGCAGGCTGCACCATTTGTCTGCATCGCAACCGGGCTAAAGAAACGGATCCGACGTGCCTTGAAGCCATTTATGCCACCCAAGAGCTGTGTGCCTCTCACATCACTGTCATCGTGAATGCCCATTCCAAGCAATACGCCCAGAAAGTTTCTGCAAAGTACGGAGATGTTAATACAATCCTCTGGTCTTCCGCGTTGCTGCCTGTGCTCCCAGTTGCGGTTCTCTTCAATCGCTGCGACCCCAATGCTCAAGTGATGGCCGTTCATGATATGCTGCGCGTCAGTCCCCTAAGACTGCTAGATGCGATGCCAGCCATCGCAAGAACAGGCTGTACCCAGTGCAACTTTGCAGAAAGGTCATAGCCATCTAGTTCCTTTGCTACAAACCCAACACAGGCGCCTGGTGGTCCATGACAACTTGATACAGTATATCCGATCCTACGGCGGTTGGAGACCATGCCGTGTTGCCGCGTGTTTTGCCTTCGTGACTCGCAACTGGAACTTGATGATTTGTAAGCTCAAACGATCCGGGAGCAAGATGGGGGAAGTGATGCTGCTGAGACCCGTTTCTAGCAGATCTGAGAGTAATTGTTGAACTCTTGGGAAACTATGCCCTCTCCAGATTCATGATGTTTCGGTGCAAAAATGGCCTGCCAGCTCGAGACGATCTTTCGGGCTGGGCAGATATCGCAGGTTGATCCCGTCCTTGCCAGACTCCGATGCACAGTTTCAGCGATGATCGCCAAGACCTCTCCCAACCTCTCCTGCTCCATTCGCTTGATCAGCTGTGCTTCGTAGTACTTCTTCATCTTCCTGACTGAGGCAACTCTGTGTCAAGCACTGGCAAACCAGATAACTCCTGCTCAAGTCACGCACGTGCGGCCTCTTTACAAACTTGCTGGTCTGCCAGAACGGCTTGTCTTCTATGTACTGGAGTGGCTGATACCTCCGAGCTGCACAATCCCCATAAGCATTGCCACAAGCGCGTTCGGCTCACTGCGGCGTCGGAGAGTGAATGCCGAGCTGGCGCTTCAGTCGCCACCTATGCAAAGACCATGCAACGGAGGGGATTGGAGGGGCGCAAGGGAGAAACCACGGCAGCCGGCCGCGAGCCTCAGCCTTAGCCAGGGCCCGGGCGGCTCCTTCTCCTTCACGTGCTTCAGGGCTTCTTCAGGTGACCGGTTGTTCACCATCTTCATGAGCTCCTTGCTGGTGATCATGAGCCAACTTCGACAAGGGCAACCGCAAGCTGAGCTCCCAGCGCTGAACACAGGAAGCTTGAAGTCGTCCACGTCGGCGGGCAAAGGCATGCGGTAGGCTTCTGGCATCGGGAGCGCTGTAATGCTCTCATGTCGCAAAACTTTGCAGTAGCTTGAGCTGTTCATCTGCATTATGCCAGCATGTGCCCCGAACCAGTGAACGAACACCTAGCATTCCGATATCAGGAACCACGACGAAGCACTCCTGAGGCTCCAAGACCACCCCATCAGTCCAAATTGTGCATTGCAATACACAGGAGCACTGTTGGCCCCCAGTTTTTCATGACTGATCGAATCAAGTTGGAAACGCAAAAATATTGCAAGTCGTGTTGGGGTTTGCAGTGAATCGTGCCTTCCCTGTGGAAACAGCGAAGCCCCTCACCATCCTAATTTAACAAGCCCATAGTCTTGCCACATTGTTAGGGAAGTTGCAAGTCAAAGCGTCGCTGCCACTCAACGTGCCGGTGTGACTGGTCAAGCCACCCCACTGGTCCTGCAGAGTCTGCACAACTTAGTACAGCACAGCACAGCCATGTACACTGCATGCTTCCGTAAAGGGCAGTCCCGATCTGTTCGAATCACGCCGCCCCACCCTTCTCCAGGCCGTGGGTCTTTAGCAACTGCAGCCCAAGCAATCCCAAGCACTGCTCGCCATGCGTGATGGTGTCATGAGCGCAGGCGCAGGGCTGTGCGGGGACGGGAATGCACCTTCTTTGCCAACAGCTTGCGACTGACGTGCGAGGGGTGACCAGCATGTCCGTTTTCGTGTTGCAGCAAAGCACCTCGAAGAGTTCACAGTCGTGCGTGCCTTCGTCTCAGCCCTTCCCGTGGGATTCCGGCAGACCGCACCATAGTGCAAAGCTCCTGGAGGACCAGGAACGCTGTGGCTCACCTTGTCGACATAAGAGGAGGGCGAGAAACAAAGAAAGAACTCTGCGAGGAGCTTCCCACCTCCAGGCTCGGCGCTCAGAGGCTCGCTTTGCTCGTGTCTCGGAGGCCTGCAGCTAGACACAGAGAGAGAGAGAGACAGAGAGAGATAGTGCGGGGGAGAGAGAGAGAGAGAGAGGCCAGAGAGGCCAGAGAGGCCAGAGAGGCCAAAGCATGGCCTCCATGCTCTGTGAACCAACGGGGAGCCACGATAGCAAGGGACCAGCGCCATGGAGCAAGTTAACTCCGTGTAATATGGCTTAAGTTTCTGTGATTTCTTGTGTTGGCGAAGCTGCTGCGGTATGCACTGCGATTCGCTCCCGGGCATGTGTAAGTTCTGAATGCATCATCGGGTCTCTGTTGGAATCCCTTGGACACATGGAGCCAGGGAGACAACGTCGAGAATCAAACTTCCCACCCTGTGCAGCGGGTCTCTGTGCCTACGGAACCCTCCTGAACCCTCCGGAACCTCGGCCTTGGCAGGCGGAGGGACCTGCAACAACAGAGCGGTCCTCGATGACGCCTGGTTTCGGCTTTCTGTCTGAGGCAGCGGCGGCCGTAGCGACGCTTTGGATCCCCATGGGACGGCCGAAGTGCACAAGAGTCGGACCACCAGCCTCTGCGCTTTTCGTCAAGTCGTACTTTTTGAGTCGAAACAGCAGGAAAACTGCAGACCGATTTTTCCACAAGCGCGCAGGACGGTGTCTACGAAGCAGCCGCTAGCAAGCACTCTTTGCACGTTGGACTCCTGCCAGGACTAAGCACAACACACACACACACACACACACACACGGACAGGGACTCGAGTGAGAGGTAAGAGCATAATGCAAGGACATGATGCGATGCACATTAGACCCATCCTCCGATGCTTGGTCAGCTGAGCCTGTCCGACACGGAAGCTGAGACATTCCAAGATCGGGCATTAAGTTCCAGAGTCTAGCCGACGGGCCTTGCTGAAGTCTTCGCGGGGCTTTCGGCGGTGACAAGCAGCACACTGGCAAGGCCAGGCGAGCATGCGAAGCACCAGTCAGATCCCGCACACCCGAACGGGACGCCTGTCGACAATTCTCAGGTCCGCACAGCTTGGCAACCTTCCTCTGAATCTGGAGCACATGCAGCGTCAACTGCCGGAGCGATTTACATCAGTCAAGGCCGCGATGGGATCACGTCGATTCAGACCAGATACTGATACTGACATGGTAAATTGCTGACGTTATCTTACGATGATCAACGACCACGACTTGTTCCAACAACTGAGTGGTTGCTCGTTTAACCTGCCCAAGCAGAAGCAGTGGAATGGAAAAGCGCTTGGGACCCTGCTGAATGCGTGGGATCAATACGAATCAAACAGTGGCTACCTGGGATGGCACCGGCAGGCCAAGATTTGTTCAGATGCTGTTGCCTTGGTGCGCCGGTGTCAGGGCTTGAACCCGAAGGGGTCTGGAGCCTGTGTGAACTTTGCCATTGCCTCATGATTTCTTTTGGATTACGAGACAGCACCTGCCTTTGTTAATCCATTCTCGTCACGCCGACTGAGAAGCTGCAAGGTTTGGAGCACGCGTACGGGTATTCAAGCCTCGATCTCCAAAATGATGCATAGTGTATCGAAAAATCGGGATGTTGTGCAGCGTGCAACGACATCCTTGCGAGTGGCCAACTTGCATTTGTGCCTCCCAGCTCCTGGAACAGCTCCCTAAGTTGACGTCTGGGGCACATTCCCATGTGTCGGCCGACGTGGAGGCAGTCTAGTCTTGCCAACTGAGCCCAAAACATTCGCACCATTCCTCGCCAGCTTACAAGCGGGCTCTCTATACTTCTGCCAAGTCGATCGTTGCGGACGAACCACATGTTGTGTTCGCAGTATGGACAAGAACTGTTCGGATTGAAAAATTCCATCGCGATGAGTGAATATCCTCGCAGAGATGCTTCACGGAATACTGCGTCGACAGATGCACCGTATGCCCCTCGCTGATCCCTGCATTCGCATTGTGGGTCATATTCCAAGTGAAACTGAAATGGGGGCGGGATGTCGTGGTTCACTTCAATCATCAAGATCTTGGGAGAGTATCCGCTGCGCAGAACGGTCTGCAGTATCGGCAAATCGATGCTGTCAATATCGATCTTCAGAGCCTCGAAATCACGCGGAACCCGGAACTTCCGAAACAAGACCTCCAAGTTGACAGGGCTTACTCTTTGAATCGCGATAGAGACCTGCTCGCTGCTGTTGACCTGCGCTAGGTTCTTCGCCAAAACATCGTGCCAACGTGGCTCGGCTTCTATCGCTAGGCCAGCGTAGCCTTGTTCAAAGAGTGGGTAGACAGGATCATGATCGCGACCATCCCGGGCACCGATGTTGACGGCAAAGCGGTTCCCGCCCGGAAGGCTCAGGAAGTGATCGGCAAGCATCTGAAAAGTCACCTGGGGAAAAACCGTGGGCAAAGCTTTCCAGGATCCGTCTTCTGCAGACTCGACGATGGCAAGAAGGTCTTGCAACTCCGTCACAAGCCGAACATGCTTGGGAATGCAGAAGCCCAGCCACGCCCACAGATGCAAAACAAGGATGTGCCACAGCATCTCACCACTTTTGGATGCGGCAGTAACTTGCTACCGAACACTTTGGCCAGGAATCTTCATTCGTTTTGTGCCATCACCCGGGGAGTGGTCCGACATGCGCTTGTCACTTCACCAGGCTGGCATCCCCCAAAAAGTATCAACAAACCCTATTCACATCATTAGTTTGCAAGTTTATCTTCGCGGACCCTGTCATTGAACCCTGACATCTTACGTGCAACAGGTTTCAGTCTCTCACCATTCTGGTGGTCGCGCTTGCTGGAAACTGGATGTTCAAAGTACTGAGACACCAAACTTTAGGCTACAGAGTTTTTAGTTCATCTCTGCAAGAGCCTGCAAGCCTGATCTGTGCAATGGACTCACTGGATTCCTTGTTGACTTGCTGGCCAAGAAGGATTTGAGAGCTGAGACAAGGTTCAATTCGGTGAAGGCTTGGTGCTTAGACTTAGGTTTTGCTGCAGCTCCGCAACAGCGCTGTGGCTGGCAACAAGCAAAACCTGCCTCTGTCTTGCTCTGGCCCCGCAGGCCCCCTGGGCCCCGCATGCAATCGAACCTTAGAGCCCGAAAACGCATCTCTCTGCTTCCCCCAAGAAGGACCGGGAAAGTGGCATACCACTCCGGTTCCTGTCCTCTGACCGGGCCTTGGACATGCAACCACTCACTGCGACATTCCACGCACTTCGACATGCTACAGGCAAGCCAAAAAGGGTCCGGCGGCCTTCCTTCAGTTGTGGTAGCAGCTTTTTCCTTGTGGAAGATCGTCAAGCAAAGCTGACTTGCGGAAGAACTGTCGATGCATCCAGCAGTATCTTCTCATTCACCAGCTCCTACAGCTATACTCCTGCACACGATTGACCACGCTTATCATAACTGCAAGTCTTGCTCGCTCTGCCTTCGCACCCAGTGCGTGCCGCTGCAAGCCTGGCAGTCTTCATCAAGTTAATACTTTTGAGCAGATCAGCAGAGTGTTGAGATGGTGATGATGAACATCCATGTAGTAGGCAAGAGATCGCAACAGCCCACTCTACTCTCTACTCTCAAGTTGCCCGCTGGTTTTGCATGGAACGGGAAAATCATCGCATACTTCTACTTCGAAATATGATGGCGCCACATGTTGCCCATGAAGAGAAGGCTCGCCTTGACTTTGAGGGTAGAAGGCCCAAGAGCTTCCAGGACGTCCACCAGGGAGGCACCTTTGAAGAGTCTGAAGCACCATTTAGTCTGAAAACGTACAAAGAACGAAATCTACTCCTGAATTACAGGCCAAGATGCAATGCACATCCCTGATACGCGGACATGACAAGATCCAGCGCATCTCGAGCCACCCTGGTTCAGGCTCCTCATCGGCGAAACACGGAATCAAGTGACTAGCAGCAGATTTTAAGGAGCAGGCGTCACGGAACATGTACGGCCCTGATGGAATATCCAAAAAGTCCATGTGCTTATTAACAGTGGACATGCGTCGTGAAACTGTATGGAACCAACTCTTGAAATCAGGATCAACATATACAACGCTGAAAAGAAAAGTGGCCGATGTTGAAAGTTGAAGCACCACAACGGCATGTGCTGACAAGACAGTCAACAGCTGCTCTCTTCAGAGAGCGCCAATGTAATGTTGGGCGGCGGCAGCAGCAGCAGCCCCCACCACCATACAGGGTCACCCTGCTCCTCCCACTTCTGCTCCTCCATTCCTGCTCCTGCTCCTCCTGCTCCTGCTGCTCCTCCTGCTCCTCCTGCTCCTGCTGCTCCTGCTGCTCCTGCTCCTCCTCCTCACCCTGGCCTCGCCCTCGCCCTCGCCCCCGCGACCGCCCTCGCCCTCATCCTCACCGTCATCCTCATCCTCATCCTCTTATATTCTTCATCATCACAATCATCAAAACCATCACCACCATCATCACCCCTGTTGCTTTGTCATCTTCGTACGCCCTCGCGATATTAGATATTACAGTACATTACATCACTATACCATATTATTGTATAGTATGTGACATCATCATCATCATCATATCATCAACAGCAGCAGCCACCGCCACCACAGCAGCAACAACAACAACAACAACAACAACAACAACAACAACAACAATATCGACAACGATGGCGACAGGGCATAAACAGCACTGCCGTACCCGAAACCGCGACAACAACATTCAACTTGTCCATGTTCGACTGCTCCAAGGTGCCTCGACGATCTTTTCTTGGAAAAACCTGCCAGCTGGCAATCTCCAAGTTGTCTCACGGCTGCAGACTCCGACCAGGCCGGGCAAGCCAGTCTTGCTTCAGATTCTTGTCCTGCAGCAAAGGAACAAGCCATCCCTGAACTCGGCTCTGCACAGCTCTGCACAGGTTGCAGGAGCTACTCGGTCAGAGAGGTAGTACTCGATTTGGCGGCGCACAGCGCGCAGGTACAGTGCACGCACCCCGCGCCGCTGCACCGCCTACCAGCGAGCCCCGAGGACTACGCAGTCATGTGCAGCCCGAGTGGTTGCCAAGGTCCGGTTTCGTAAAGGTTCGTGGAGTTCGTGTTTTTTGGGAATCGCCTTGTATGCGAAGCCATCATCGCCACAGCGTGCAGCCTTGGGATATCCTGTCGGTGAAGGTGCCGCGGCTGTCTCGGCGGCCTGAGCCTGCGAAACTGTCGAGCATGAGATCAACTGCAAACTC